CTTGCTCCAAAATCTTCACTGGCTCCCATTTTCCCCCTGGATAAAATACAAATGCTTGAAATTGAAGACCCTTGACAGTCTGATTCCTTTTCAGTCTTATTTCTATTACTCCCCTTCATGGACTCCACATTCTAAACAAAAAGGACCGTTCAGCTGTTCCCTGGATTTGACACCTCATCTCCCACCTCTGTGCATTTCCTAAGGCTGGGGCACAGCTGCTCCTCATCAGGATCTTTCAGAATCCTCCTCCTTCAAAGCTGAGCTCAGGTGCTTCTTCCGCCATGTTGTTTTTGCTGATCTGTCCCCCCAAGGTAAAAGCAATTTCTCTCTCTTCAAAATTTCCTATTTTGTCTGTATCTTTCAGTTAATCAATGAATCAATAAGTAAGTATTTAGTAGGCACCAATTAAGTAGTAGGGCAGTTAGGTCGCTCAGTAAATAGAACATTGGGCCTGGAGTCAGGAAGATCTGAGTTCCAATCCAGCCTCTGACACTTACTAGCTATGTGACCCTGGGTAAGTCATTTAACCCCTATTTGCCTCAGTTCCTCATCTGTAAAATGGGAACACACTGGAGAAGGACATGGTAAACCATTCCAGTGTCTTTGCCAAGAAGATGCCATGGACAAAATCCATGAGGTCATGAAGAGTGGGATGAGACTGAATAACTGAACATAAAATACCATGTGCCAGGCACTGTGCTAAGTGCTGGGGACAAACAGACAAAAATGAAACAATCTCTGCCCTCAAGTAGTTTCTATTCTGTAGGGGGAGACAATATGCACAGTACACATTGACTCTGGAGTCAGAGAACCTGGGTTCAAATTCAGCCTCTAGTACTTACCTGTGTGACCTTGAGCAAGAACCTTCCTCTCCCTGGACCTCAGTTTCCTCCTTGGTAAAATGCAGGTCTTGGACTGGGCAGTCTTTGAGGTCCTTTCCAGCTATAGATCTGTGATCCTATCAGGTTAATACAAGCTCAGTATATACTGAGGTGGATGCTATCCTTTCCCCCCATCGCAGTCCACATCATGTCATATTTATCTGTGTCCAGTCTGTCTTCCTGTCCCCCAACCCCTGCCAGACCCAATAGAATGTAAGCGAGATGAGGAAGGATGGCTTTTTTTTTTCATCTTGACATTCTCAGGGACGTAGAGGTCATAGGTAGAATTAAGTTGAATTGAATTTCCGTGGAGCAGGACTTAGTGCAGAACTCTGCGTGCTGTGAGGGACCCAGACTCCCTAGGAAAGGCATGAATGTGCTTGTTAGCCTAGAGAAGGAGCACATGTTGCTCATTCCACCAGAAATAAATGTGACCCAAAGTAACCCCAGATGCCTCTGAGTCCCCTCCAGGTCCTCCAAAGGGGGGGGGGAGCAGCAGTTGGTGAGACATTCCTTACTTCTTCCCTTTCAGCAGCTTCCTTGAGCTGCCCTTCCTGCACTCAGCATGGGCTGCATCTGCTGGTTTCCTCTGCTAGCTAAACAATAAATACAGGCCTCTTCAGAACCTCCTTCTCCTTAAGGATGGGGCCTGGGGAAGGACATGGAGGGAGATGGTGGGATCACAGGATCACGATTTTAGATCTGGGATGGAACTCAGAGTCCAATTGCCTCTTTTTACAGATGGAGAAACTGAGACCAAGGGAGGTCAAGTCACTTGCTGAAGGTCACTCTGGTAATGAGCGTCAGAGGCAGATATGAACCTGGGTCCTCTGACTTCTTCTTTTGATCTTTGTCTCTGCTTTTCACAACTTTGCTGTGACTCCAAGCTCTAATTAGCAGTAATCACGCCTGGTGCAAGTTCATTTGGGGGTGAGGGCGGAAGACATTTTCACAAGTGCAGTCATCTCGGAAAAGTGGGTGGCCTATCTGCAGGGAGTCTGGACCTCATCCTCTTAGCGACTGAGAGGAGAGGAAGGGATGCCTCTCCTGAGTATGAAGGTAATATGGTACGTTGGAGAGGTCAGAGGGCCTCGGTAGAAATCCTACTTCTGATGCTTATGAACTTACAATAGCTAGGGGGGTGCCATAGTGCAGATGACACTTGGCCTGGAGTCAGGAAGACACCAAGGCCAGTCTCAGATACTTGCTAGCTGAGTTATCCTGGACAAGTCTCTTCACCTTTCTTTTCCTCATCTGTAAAATGGGGATAATTGTAACACCTGCTCCACTCCATTCCCCCGGGGTTGTTGTGAGGATTCAATGAGATAATATTGGTAAAGCATCAAGCACAGTGCCTGGTACATAGTAAGTGCATACCCAATGCTCGTTTCCTTCCTTCCTGGCCTCTGAGGTACCTTTCAGATCCAGGCTGATGCTCCTATGAGGCTTGTGTTCCTGGATGACCAGTGCTAGGCTAGAAACCACTTCAGAGAGGAAAGATGCCTCCCCGGGAAGGAAGTGGCACCTTCCGAGGATGTTGGCCCCCCTGGAGCAAACAACATCCTCTCCATGCCAGTCACACCTCTGATATAAGCAGGATGCCCGCTTGGCTTGTGTCCTGAGAAGAGCTTACAAAGGCGGCCCAGACATTTTCAGAAGGGACCCAAGGAAAGGGCAGAGCCTTGACTTTTCTAGCCTATTCTATGGCTGGATTCAGGTCGGCTTCATCTCGGGTCCTGCCTTCATTTTTGGTTGAGTAGTGAGAACCTGCCACGTCACCATTCCTCAGAAAACAGTGAATGGAGTCATGCCTTGAGGAGGCTTGATTCTAATCCTAGCCATAAGATGTAACTCATGAATATATGTGTGTGTATATATATAATATCTATTTCCATATCTATCTCTCTATATCCATCTATTTTATCTATCTGTCTGTCTGTCTGTCTTCTCAGTCTTCTTTACCATGATCCTATGATTCCCAAGTCACTTTCTGCCCCTAAGCCTCAGTGTCCCCACTTGTAAAATGAGCTTTAAATCTATGAACTAGGAAGGTGTTTTGAGAATATGTAGCCCAAGCCCATCATTTGACAGATCAGGAAATTAACACTCAGGGAAAGGAAGTGATTCACCCAAGGAGACGGAACAAGCCAGGATAGAACCAAGAGAAGCACTCAAGTTCTTCTTCTCCGCCCCGGGAAGCTGCCTCCAAGCATTAACATTGTCCAGACCAGAACCTCAATGCCAACCTCAATACACAACTAATACAGCCTCGAGCACATGGAGGGATTAGGGGGTGCTGACACCCCTCTGTGAGTGCCTCTTCCTAAAGATCCCCCTTCAGGTTTCTCCAACCAGACGAGGCTCCTTCCTCTCCTCAAAGGCACAAAACGATTGGTCCTCAGTAGGCAATTGCCTCTTCTCTGCCCAGTGAACAGGGATAAAGGTCCTGCTCTGGGTTAATGTGTTGCTCTGGCAACCCAGATTTGACAGGATGGACAGTCTTCGCGGTAGAGTTTACATCTGGGTGACTCACACCTTTTCCTAGAAGCCTGGAGCACTGTTCTCCAGGGAGCAAGACAAGCTGGTCATGTCTGCTGTGCCCTGGTGCCAGGGAAAGACACAGCCACAGAACCACGCTGCCTGGTTTCTAGTCCCATCTCTGCTCTGCGAACTCATGTTCCTTCTCTGGTCCTCATTATTTTGGAGGATTGGACTAGACCTAAGGTCCCTTCTAGCCCTGAGAGCTGATGATTTCTTTTCTTAGTTAGATTGCTAAACCTTGGCTTCTATCAATCTCCTTTGCCTACTTATGATCTGAGGGAGGAAGGGGAGGGAAGGAGTGACCATGATAGAGAGACAAGGAAGGGAGTTTGCAGCATGAGAGCTGACAGCATGATATAGGGTCTTGGAATCCAGACCCCAATTCAAATTCTACTTCTAACACCAGCTAGCTGATGACCCTGGTCAAGTCACTTAACTTCTAGGTGTCCCAGACAATTCCCTAGGACTTAATTGTCCACAAGTACCTTGAATGCCTGAGGGATAGAGGATAGGCCTTTGATTTAATTGGTATAGAAAACTTATGGATGAGACAACTCCCTTGACCGATGGAGCTTGGCACCTCCTATGGAATGGACAATCTTAGTTATATAGAGCAGGGAGGCCTGGGGGTCACTGAGACACCCTAAGATCCTTTTAAAGAGTCCATAAGGTCAAAACTATTATCCTAATAATGTTAAGATGCTTTCATTACTAATACAGTAAAAAAAACTGAAAGACAAAATTCATATAGTAGTAGTAAGAGTCAAGATTCAAACCCAGATCTTCTGCCTCCACTGCAATCTCAGCCATTCTGGCATATTTGTTTCCATTTATATGTATTCTCAAAGTGAGGTAATGGTTCCTGGAAACCACGTTTTCAGTCAACGTTTTTTCTAGTTTTCTTTTTCAAACCAGATTTGTGATTTCATCAGTAGGAAGAAATCCTGGAATCTTGGGGTGGAGATTCCCTTCTTTGACACAGATCAATGACTTATTTACAAATTAGATTCTCTGAGATCTGCCTGGGGCACTAAGAGGTTAAATGACTAGCCCAGGGACACAAGGTCCATAAGTGTCTGAGGTAGGGTTTGAACTCAAGTCTTCCTGCTTCACCAGGCTCCCTCTATAGTTAGTAGAAATATTCAGTAAAATTTTGGGAAGTAAGATCAGTGATTAGGAAGGAACGGGTCAGGGCAGTTCTAAGCAGAGGTGTGCTGGCAAATGTTTAATAACTGGCTTTCTGGAAAAAAAGAAACATGTACACAGGACACACTTTTAAGTTTAATTATTTTCTCCATCACTTTCTTAAGTCAAACCAATCAACAGAACACTAAATCAAGCCTTGATTTTTAGCATTTGCCAATTTCTGAGACATAAATGCTGGTGCTGGAAATTTAACAATCAGCTCTCAGCTGGGTAGAGCTGGCTCCAGGATACAGATGATGGCTGAGTCTCAAGTTGTTTATAACCAAGTTTCCATTGGTAGCCCCTTTTAATGTGTCATTTGGAGCCTTTCTCTTATGTTGAAAAAAGCCACTATCTCCTGAGTTTAAAAAAATACCCAATTTGATTTTGCAGTACAATTACCCTGCCTGACAGAAATCGGAGATGGGGATGACCCTGGGACTAGGCAGTGAGAGCTATTTCAGAGTCCCAGACTTTGGCCTTCCTTTGTTCCAGATTCCACATTAAGACTTACCCTGCTACTTTGAACTCCAAGGTAATACTCGGTGCAATTGTTGATAATGAAAATAATGAAAATCCTTGCTCTCCTGCCCTTCACTTGCAGTTTGCTGATAAAGACCTCTATTACCTATTCTTGCTCTAAGATTTAGAGTTGGGAGGGACCTCAGAGGTTTTTGTCCATCCGACCCACTCATCTCATGAATAGTATAATAGTTAATGTGCATATGATGATTTAAAGTTTACAAAGTGATTCCATATATCAGCTCTTTTAATCCCTCCACAACCGGAATGTCTGAGACTCGGGACTATGGACTTTGCCCAACACACTCTGGGAGACTTGTTGGCAGGAAAGGGTAGCAAGCACATTATTGTCCCCGTTTTATAGAGTAGGAATCTAAGTAGAAACCCTAGAGAGGGCAATTTGTAAAATGAAGGGGTTGGATTAGATCAACAGTTCTCAGAGTGTGGTCTGGGGATCCCTGGGGGTCTCTTAGACTCTTTCAGGGGTTCTGCAAGGTCAAAACTATTTTTTTTTTTTGGCAATTGGGGTTAAGTGACTTGGTCAGGGTCACACAGCTAACAAGTGTCAAGTGTTTGGTCTGAGGCCAGATTTGAACTCAGGTCCCCCTGATTTCAGGGCCAGTGCTCTATCCACTGCGCCACCTAGCTGCCCCTCAAAACTATTTTCATAATAATACTAAGATGTATTAATTTCTGACTGGGGCAGCTGGGTGGTGCGGTGGATAGAGTGCTGAGCCTGGAGTCTGGAAGACCTGAGTGCAAATCTGGCCGTAGACACTTATTAGATGTGTGACCCTGGCCAAGTCACTTAACCCCATTTGCCTCAGTTTCTTCATCTATAAAATGAGCTGCAGAAGGAAATGGCAAACCACCCAAGTGTCTTTGCCAAGAAAATCCCAAATAGGGGGACATGGATAATCAGACACAACTGAAATGACTAAACAATAAAAATCTTGATGGATATAACTCACCTAAACAAAATGTCTCTGGAGTCCTAAACTAATTTTTAAGAGTGTAAAGGCAGGGGGCAACTAGGTGACACAGTGAATAGAGCTCTGGCCTTGGAGTCAGGAAGACCCAAGTTCAAATCCAGCCTCAGACACTTAACACTTACTAGCTGTGTGACCCTGGGCAAGTCACTTAACCCCAATCACCTCACCAAAAAGAAGAAAGAAAAAAAGAGTGTAAGGGGGTCTTAAGACCACTAAGTTTAAGAGCCATGAAATTAGGAGATCTCTATGAGCCTTCTGGCTCTAAGACTATGATTCTATGATTCTAGTTATGTGACCCTGGGCAACTCACTGGACCTTATAAAGCCTCAGTTTCCCCATTTGTAAGATAAAGAAGAAGTTGGATTGACTTGCCTCTGACACCTTTCCAGCTCTAAGCCAGTAATTCTATAATCTTTGCAACACAACTGTGAGACCAGAAGCACTAACCTTGAGTTCTAGATTTGAATCTTGGCTTAGCCACATGTTATATGTGTGACCTTGGACAAGTCACTTGCTGGGCCTCAAGTCTTTTGATTGAAGGTGTCTCTTAGCTCTAAATATATGACTGAACCCTAAAAGAAGGGATGCTGTATAGATCCCTACCAACATTTTATAGATTTAAAGCAAGAAGGGACATTTAGAGATCCAACCACCTCATTTTTAAGATGTGAAAATTGAGGTTCACAGAGGGCATATGGTTTGTCCCTCATCATATCATAATTAGCAGATTAGGGATCAAAATGCAAGTCCTCTAACATAAATCCCATACTTTTCCATTATCCCATGAAGAAGTTAGAAAATGTCTGAGAGTCAAGGGAAAGAAATGATAGGTGGGGTTCTAGAGTAGATTTTCCCAGTCTTCTACACTGTAATACCCAAAGGACAGGACTGTGGGACAATAGTCCAGTGTGTGTTCTCGATATAAATGGTGATTTCTGTAGGGGTCTTTGCTTAGTAGAAGTCAATCAATCAAGCAACCAATCAAAAAGTATTTATAAAGTACTTACCATGGACAGGACACCATACTAAATGCCAGAGAAACAAAGAAAAAACAAAAACAATCCTTGCCTTCAGGGAGTTTACATTTTAATGGAGGAGACAATATCTACACCAATAGAAATGTAGTATACACTCTGGAGCATGGATCACATTGCCAGAAGAAGATTAAATGTAATTGGGAAATTCTTAACAAAATAAATAAAAATGCAATAGAATATAGTTAATGTTGACATGTGGTTTTCTAAGTCAAAATGCAGCCTTGCAGGGATCTTTATATATGGTTTAGTGCCCTCTTGCTCTGGAGCTACCATCCTAACCTTCATTCTTGATGGTAGACTAGGCCCCCAGAACATTGCTGCTTTATCTCCCCTCAAGATCTAAGGGTAGCCCCAAGGAATTAGAGGAATGTCTTTTCTAGTGCTTCATGAACACCCACTGGTATGTTCCCCTCCGTGATCATCATTCTAAATCAATTAGTCAGACAGGATTAATTAGCTGTTAGGGGTATTTACTAAACTAGCATGAGAATAGTGGGAACAAAATAGCGCCCCCCCATTCCCAAAGTCTGTGACATACTCTCCCACAAGTACATACAGAGTCTAGGAGAAAATGGACTTGGAACTTAGAAAGCATATATGGCATAAGGGTAATTTACAGCTTCTAATATCTGAAAGTAGGTTTCTTCCCCTTGTGTGTGAGGGGAACACTCATGAACTTCCCCTTAAGCATGGTCTAGATTTTCTGTTGGGATCCTTGTAGCATCTGGAAACCTCCATTCTTCAGGGTGCTTAGTTTGTTCTTGGGCTCTCAGTGAAGACAATGGCCCCGGATGTTCTGGGAACATGCTAAAATGCCAGTGGGAAGCCCAAAGTCCTGCAGACCCTTTGAAGTTACATTTTCCTCCTCTGGCCATGGAAAGGAGAAGAGTACTGAGACTGAGGCTGAGGTTGAGGCCAGGACTAGGTCTCTTCTCCTCCCCAACCCAATCTACTCCTTCTCAGGGGCTTAGACGGAAGGCTTCCAGAAACTTGAATTCCCGGGTTCTGAACTTGCTTGTTGTATTATGGTAGACCCAAAGAGCATGACCAAGTTTCCTCAGCTAACACCAATACAGTTCCTGCATAACAATATTGCTTTTTATTCACCGTTGTTCAAGGACTTCTAAATTGACCAAGGATTTTTTGAACTTAGTCTAAAGCCTATGATTGATTGATTGATCAAATAGGGATGTCTAGGCTTTGATCACACTTCTGACTGAATTTTTGTCCTTTTCAAAAGAAGGTATTACAGCATAGCATCTTGTTATGTACTTTAAGTGGGAATAGGGTAATTGAATGATTGACTCAAGTGACCTACACATTTATATTCCATCCCCTATCAGTTTACTGGAATGTATTTGCAAGGAGGCACTATAAATAAATAAAATACAAATAAAATGCAGACAGCCTCTTCCCTCAAGAAGTTTACACTCTAATAGAGGAGCTGAAAAGCAGGGGGAATGGGGGATGTGGGTACCTACTGCGGGGGCATGGTTAGGAACAGGGGCCTAAAGAAGAATGAAGGCAGGCCAGCCTTGGCCCTTCCACAAAATGGTGGCACCAGGAGGAACTCACCGATGGGATAAAGTGGATGGGCCTTGCTTGGCAAAAACCATAGTCCTGAATCTTGGATGAGTCTCCAGTGAAATTCCATATTATCCTTTTTCAATGCTTTCTCCAGTGCTTCATTCCTGATAATTAACATTTTTCCATATTTACAAATACTTGCCAGGTAGGGGAAAGGGAGAATCATTAAGAAGCTTAGGGGGAAAGGCACACACTCTGCTCAGACCTTGATGGAATTCAGGCAGTGTGCAGATTAGAGTGAGTAAGAGAGTTTGTGGTAGGTGCTTAAGGAATATTTTCTGGATGAATGGATGGATGACTAAATTATGTCTTTTATTTGCAGAAAATGGCCACCGATGATTACAACTTCTCTGATGGCTACTATGACTATGAAGGTGATGGGTTTGTCATAGCACCGGAAGAGTCCACCCCCAATGATGATGGGGTTGCCAGGATCTTCCTGGTGGTGGTCTACAGCTTAGTCTGCTTTCTGGGACTCTTGGGGAATGGTCTGGTCATTGTGATCACTGCCTTCAAGATGAAAAAAACTGTAAACACTGTCTGGTTTCTCAACCTAGCTGTGGCAGACTTTTTATTCAATGTCTTCCTCCCAATTCACATCGTCAACGCTGCCATGGACTACCACTGGGTTTTTGGGAAGGTCATGTGCAAGATCAGCCACTTTGTGGTGGTCTACAATATGTACACCAGCGTCTTCCTACTTACCACCATCAGCTTTGACCGCTGTGTCTCTGTTGTCTTCCCAGTGTGGTCCCAGAACCATCGGAGCATCCGGCTGGCTTCCATTGCATGTGCAGCCATCTGGACCCTAGCCTTCTTTTTGGGTTCCCCATCCTTGGTTTTCCGGGACACAACTGTGCACCAGGGCAAAATTGTCTGCTTCAACAACTTCAGCCTGTTGGCCAATGTCTCCCACCCCTATCATTTCCATTTGGCCCAGGACTCAGTCGCCTACGTGAGGCATGTGATGGTGACCGTCACCCGGTTCCTGTGTGGATTCATCCTCCCTGTGTTCATCATCACAGTGTGCTATCTCATCATTGTCTGCAAGCTGAAGCGCAACAGGTTGGCCAAATCCAAGAAGCCATTTAAAATCATCGTGACCATCATCATCACCTTTTTCCTCTGCTGGTGTCCTTACCATACCCTGTACCTGCTGGAGCTCCACCACACCACCGTGCCAGCTTCTGTGTTCAGTCTGGGGCTACCCTTGGCCACAGCCCTTGCCATCTCCAACAGCTGCATGAACCCCATTCTGTACGTCTTCATGGGCCAGGATTTCAAGAAGTTCAAGGTGACTATCTTCTCTAGGCTGGTCAATGCCTTGAGTGAGGACACGACTGCCCACTCCTCCTTCATGAGTCATAGGAGTATCACTAAGATGTCCTCTGTGAATGAAAGGTCCTCTGTGAATGAGAGGGAGACAGGCATGCTCTGAGTGTCACATCAGGACCCCCCAGTGTCCACAGAGACAGGCACCTCCCTTTGGCTTTGGCTCAACCGGGAAACTTTCAAAGTGTCTAAAGGCAGGGCAAGAATATATCTGGCTACCACGTTTCCACCAAGGTTGGTGAATCACTGTTAGCCGGTGGCTAAATTTGATAAGAGAAGTGAAAGACATTTTGAGATAGGTCCCAAGGGGATGGAATTAAGCTCCATGAATTCAGGGCATTCACTGTCCGGCTTTTTACCTTGTCTCACCTCTCTGTGGCCTATGAGCTAATATAGTGGATTAAAGAAACTTGTCACGCTGAACATGAGCATAAGAATGTCAACATGAAAGGGGACTTGGAGATCATCTTTACAAGATGGGGAAGGTGAGGCCCAATGAGGACATGTGCCTTGCCCAAGGTCATTTGATGGTGAAACCAGGACTGGAACTCAGATCTGTCCAAGTCACTGACATTGCCTGCCCATGAATACACTGCCTTTGGGGGATGATGAGTTTTCTTTGAGCCTTGAATGAAGAAGGGGCAGAAGAAAGAATGAGGACATTCTCAGAGAGAAGGCTCTACAAAGCTCACTATGGGGTTTGATTGAGTGTTTTAAATGCTTCCGGGAATGGGATCTTATGCAGGGCCATAATGAGGAGTATATTTGGTCACTCCCTCCTTGGGAGTGACCCAATGATTTTATCCCCAGCACTGGCCTCTGTGTAGGCAGCTTAGCCTATGTTAAAGGCACCACCCTCCCTCATCGCCCCCCCCCCCCAGCTTAAACACTGCCTGAAATTTACAAAGTAGAATTTAAGCTCCCTGAGGGCAAGATTTGTTCCATTTTTGTTTTTGTCTCCCCAGCACTTGGCACAGTGCCTGGCACATTTTAAATGTTTAAGGAATGTTTGTTGAATTGAATTATTCCATCAGAGCCATAGAATCTCAGTGGTTGATAGGGACTTAGAGAGGATTTAGGAGGACAAGATTTTAGAGCTGGTAGGGACCAACATTCATTCATTCATTCAACAAATCCATCAAGTCCAACTGCCCCATTTGCTTACAAATAAGGAAACTGAAGTCCACTGACTTGCCCATGGTCACACTGGTAGTAAGTTGCAGAGCTAGGTCTTTTGACTCCAAATCTAAGACTTTTACCACTATACTATACAATCTCCCAGTCCAATCTAGACTACTTAATCTAATCCATTCTTCAACACTCTAACAAATAAGAATCCTCCTTTGGGTTAAGGCTTTGTTTCTAGAATACCCCTGTTGACCATGGATATATTTTCTGGTTGGGGTAGCATAATAATCCAAGGGCACCCATTATCATGGTAGCGTAGATTGATTTCTTTTCTTTTCTTTTTTTTTTTTTTTTGGTGAGGCAATTGGGATTAAGTGACTTGCCCAGGGTCACACAGCTAGTGAGTATCAAGTGTCTGAGGCCAGATTCGAACTCAGGTCCTCTTGACTCCAAGGCTGGAGCTCAATTGTAGATTGATTTCTTAGATTAGTTTGAAATGTAGAGAACAGGGCACAGAATGACAGGATCTGGGATGGTGGTGGTGGGCACACCTGTACTGGTGGAGGGAGGGGAAAGGAATATATGAGAACCTTAGGACCTATCTTTCAAGAGTCAGGGTGGGGCCCCACAGTGGAGGGGGCACTTGGAGTAGTGTTAGGGGTCTGGGCGAAGAGCGTTTTGGGGTAAACACTGAGAGAGGGTTGAGGGTACTGCAGGGATTGTGAGAGAGCATGAAAAACAACTTTGCCAAGCCCCCAATTTATCTGTGGGCTGGTTCCGCTTCCTCAATCCAGAGCCTAGGTGTCTGGTCCTGCAGGGTCTTTTCCTGGGATAAGGAACTCACAGAACCACTGAGAGGTCATCTGGTCCAACCTTTGCCTTATTGAGGATCCCCTCTGTAATATTTAGGACAAATGGCCAACCAGTCATTGCTTGAAGAACTACAAGGATGGGGAGTCCCCCAGCTCCTGAGGCAGCCCATTCCACTTTGGGATGCCTTTCCCCCTTCACTCATTGACTCAACTCTCTGGGCTTCTTTTCCCCCTCCTTCCCGCTCCTCTCCCACCCCCACTTTCCAGTTCTCTGATATGTGTTATCTTCTTGCCCTATGATTGTCCTCAGTACCCTCTTCTGGATGCCTTCCAGCTTATCTGTGTTTCTTAAAATGAGATGCACAGCTCTATTGGAACCTCCCCCACTTCCCCTGAGGAGATTAACCATTCACCTACAGGGTCTCAGCCTGACAGCTAGTACACAGCCCCCACATTGCCTCAAATAACCATCGCTCACACCCCTGCCGACTCAGTGACTTACTCTCTTCCTCACATCTCCTTAAAATAACCCTGTTTCCTTTTTTTCCCTCTTTTGGCTTCTTAAAAATCTCAGCTTGGGACTCAGACTGGTTAGAGAGAGAAAAAGCTGAAAACTTTTGACAAACAGGAAAGGAAACTATTGGGAATAATCCACTAAGAAGTGATAGTTGCTCAGGGGGAGGATTGTTGAGCTGGGGATCATAGATTCAGAATGGGAAAGGACTTCAGAAACCATGTAGCCCAACCCCCCATTTTACAGATGAGGAAACTGAGGCCCAGGGACATGACTTTCCTAAGGTTGCACAGCTAATAAGTGTCAAAGGAAGGAATCAACCACATACTGCTCCCTTGCTCTTGTCCTGGGCTCAAAAACTGATTGTCACAAATTTACCCCCATATGGAGGGTCCTATTTTGTGTACTGATAGCTGCACAAAGTCAAGAGACCAAAAGAGTGTACCCCTTGTTTTAGATTAACAAGGGGACATGGATGAGTCTCACAGGATGGACAGGTGTAGATGGGTCACTATCTTCATCATGGCAGGGGCCACACATATTACTGAATATTGGAATGGTCATCTTTTGAAAGACTCAGGGATGACTGAAACTGGAAGAAAATATAGGAACTCCCTAACCCAATCTCCTTCATTTTATGGATAAGGAAACAGAAACTTAGAGAGAAGTGACCTGCTCAAGGTTACATGATTAGTTAGCGGAGCTGGGAATCTGACCAAGGTGTTCTGACTCCTAATCACCATCATAGAATGTTGGAACTGGAAAGGCCCTCCGGGGTGGTTGAGACCACATTATAACCAGGGAGAACAAGAAAATTGTCTACTTTTTAATAATAAATCATGATTGCTCATCAACCCCAAATTAATTTTGTATTGACTTTGCAATTAGTTTAAAAAACCATTAAACTCAATGAAGAAAATCCATTTAGGTGACAGTTTCCTTTCTCTATGCTTGTGGCAAACTGAAGTCCACACTCCTATACATTGCTATTCCTTTTACTTAAAGACAGCAGAGTGTTATGGAAAAGTATCCTGGACCAGGGCTCTGGAGATACCTGGGTTCAAATCCTATTTCAGGTAACTTGTGGTGAGACCTAAGGAAAATTGCTTATTTTCGGGGCCCTCAGTTTCCTTCTTGGTCTAATGATAATGGTGGTTGGGAGGCTCTAGTGAGAAATAAGACTGTAGAATACATCGCAAACTTTAAAGCGTGCTAGAAACGTCTTCTCCCCATCTCATTCCTTGAAGAGAACTCAACACCTTTGGAAGCTGGTGAATGGGAATGGAAAGGACCTTGACTTTGGAGGCAGGTGAACATGTTGTGTGACCTCTGGCAATTTAATAATTCAATAACCATTTATAAATAATGTCAATAAATCTACAAATAATTTCAATAAACAATAATAATTCAATAAACATTTATTAAACACCTACTATGTGTCAGACCCTGTACTAAGTGCTGGGGATACAAAAAAGAGGCCAGAGATAGTCCTTGCCCTCAAGGAGCTTACACTCAAAGTTACCTCACCACTCTGGACCTCGGTTTCTTCTTCTGTATGATGATGGTTTTGGACTAGATCCTAAGGTCACAGGATCATGGATTCAGGGCTAGAAGGGCCCTCATTGGCCATCCAGTCCAATTCCCTCATTTTAAGTTGGGGAAACTGAACCCCAGGGAAGTCAGAAGATTCAAAATCTAGAGCCAGAACGGAGCTCAGAGGCCTTTAGTCAAACTCTCTTAATTTACAAATGAGAAAGCCAAGACCCATGGCAAAGTGATTTGACCAAGATCACATAGGTAATAAACAACAGAGGTGAGATCTGAGCTCAGGGTCTCTGACTTCAGAGCTGGGGCTCCTTCTGCTGTATCACTTTGGATGGAAATCCAGCAGGTAAGTGGTAAAGTTAGGATTGGAACCCAGGACTGAATCTGACTCCAGATTTCAGATAGAAAGTTTTGGGAAGTTTGTGACCCTGTGGCCAAGCCCCTCAGAGCTCTCCCCAAGACCCAGATTCCCCTAGAGGATGGATAGACCAACCTGAGGACAGCCTCGTTTATTTTAGAACATGGCCCCCTGGGCAGGGTTTTCATTTTCCTAAACATTTGATCACAAATGCTGTCTTACTGACAAGAACTCGGTGACCAGCATGGAAAGTTTCCACCCAGGCATCAAATGTTCCCGATGTTATATGGACATTGGTGACTCATAACTCATTTGGAGAATTTTTTCCCTTCCTCTTAAAAAACATGGTTTTCATGTGGTTAAATGTTCGTGAAAAGTCACACCTTCTGCCTGCCTGCAGGGGTGGGAACATTCAGCTAATGATTCCATTAATACATGAAGTCTCATCATTTTCTCCAGGGTGGCTGACTGAGTAGTTGGTGGACTGGAGGATGCTTTAACCAGAAGAGTCAGGGAGCTATGGCAGAATCTCTAAGCATAGCAAAAAGGAAGACGAATTATCCACTATTGAGCCTATTCACTCCCTCTATCCCAGCAAAGGATCTGTTTTTTCCAACTACCTCTGAGGATGTCGATGCCCCTTTAATAAAACGGGTTTCTCCAGGGTCAGTGGGGCAGGAATTCAGCCACTTTGTCACTCACAGTTTAGCGTCTTGTCAGCAGTTACTTGAGAATGAAAATCTGAATTGGCCCCAGATGCTTCTTGTGTGAGAAACTGACTTCTCCAGAGGTGACTCATGCTTGCTTCCAATTCCTGCCTCCTGGAATAACCTAAGTCACAGACTGTAAGGGCAATGCTATGTTAGAACAACTCTCTACCTTCTCATTCACTTCTTCACCTCTCTCCCTGACCTCTTCCACTTAGGACAGAGAAAGCCTTTTCAGTCTGATATTAGAGCTTTGGAATTATAGAATCCAGAATGGTAGAGTTGGTAAGGACCTTACACATATGGTCCCCCCCACCAGGTAAGCTACCCCAGGTTTAAAGTTCTGTGTAGGAGAACCTGGATATCCACAGGGGGAAAAAAACAAACAAAAAACAAAACCATAGCTTATGAGCCCCCACCAATGTATTTACTTTGAGTAGTCAAACTGAAGATAAGATTAGTTGAAAGTAGAAATAAATTATGAAATAGCACAGTGAGAAAAGTAACAATAATACCTTTTTCATTAAACCTGTATATATGCTGTCACAAATACATGCATCATCAGTGGAAGGAGTAACATATCTAGGAAATGTTTGTGGAGATGTACACACGTAGGGAACGTAGGTAGACACAGCTCATGCATTGAGGGACATGCAAGTAGGAAACACATGTGGCCATTGCACTCACATGGAGAAGCATTGTTTACAGGTAGGGAAAAGGTGTGGCCAGGGAACATAGGGGAGGAGTCAAATCATATCTCTGACACAGAAGGGCCACTGAAGACTTCTGAAGATATCATCCCACTGCTTTTGCTGGGCCTGATTTCCTATATTACAGTCAAGTCAATTCACTTTGATTAAGCATTTACTATGTGGCAAACACTGTACTAAGCACTGGGAATACAAATACAAACAAAAAGATAGATGATACATGCCCTCAATGAGTTTACATTCTAATGGGGAAAGACAGCACATAAAATGGAGCTGAAAAACCCTGGGTGTGGGGGGGCAGGGAGAGGATACCCATGCAGGAACATGGTGGCAAAGCTTGCAGAGTGAAGCATGGTCTGTCTGGGCTCCTTCACAAAGTAGAGGTTCTAGAAGGGGCCTCACCAGTGGGAGAAGGTGGATAGAGGGAGGAAGCAGATAAAGCATGGTGGTAAAGTAGTCTTGTATTCTCTGCTGGGCATTTTATTCCTGCTGGTCGAGAGTGGTTGCAGCTCCAATGATCTCACTACAAGTGATGGCTGCTGCTAGGCATGACTCTGGTGGGCACAAGCTTTTCTATGCTTCCAGCTATTGGAGTCCCCATCTGAGATACTGCCCCTTTCTACTGAGATGGAAGCATTGGCTCTACCATCACTCTTTTAATTTAGAGCCCAGAGGCTTTTAGAGAGGCAACTCCATCACAAACACAGTATCAAACTAGGGTAAAAATT